ATTAGACAGTTCTGAGCGATCTCTTAAAGAATCTATTACTGAATTGAAGTTTTGTGGTCGAATGTCTGGTTTGAAAATGAATGTATCAAAAACACAGGTAGTCTGGATCGGGAGTAAGATATTTTCTGAAGACACATACTTATCTTCCTGAGCTAAATTTAGAGTGGGGCAGACATAAATTTACACTTTTGGGTATTGAGTTCCATGTTAATTTACACGAGATTCCAAAAATGAATTTTGACAAAAAACTTACAAAGCTGTAATCTGTAATAAAAATCTGGAATAGGAGAAATTTAACTCCAATTGGGAGAATGCATATTATCAAATTACTCCTCATTTCACAACTTAACCACCTATTTATCTCATCACTAGATCCAGATGAGTCTTTTATTTCAAAGTTTAATACTATTCTTTTTCAGTTTTTATGGAACAGCAAAATTGACAAAGTTAAAAGAGAAGTAGTTTTTCAAAGCTATTTTAGTGGCAGCCTGAAAATGATTAACATTAAAGCTTACATAGATTCTTTAAAACTAGGTTGGATTCGAAGGCTTTTTCAGACCACAGCTAAATGGCAAGTAATTCTGAAAAATACTGTTAATATAGACCTATTAGCAAATTGTGGTGTTGACATTGTACAATTATGTCAGAAAAAAAATTAAAATAAGTTTTGGATTGATTTTTTTAAAGCCTGGAACAAATTAACATTGATTAATGAAAAAAATACCCGAAAAAGGAGATTCTATTTTAAAAACACCTATTTGGTACAACAGAAATATAACTGTTGGTAAGAAATCAGTTTTCTCTAAGAATCTTTTTGAAAACAATATTATTGTCATAAATGATTTGATAAAAAATTATGAATTAGGGAGTTTCTACAGTTATCAGGAAATTCTTCACACATATGATGTGACAACAAACTTCCTTCATTACCACAGCATTTTATCAGCTGTGAAAAAGTTTCTATCTTCAAATGAAATCCCAAACTCAAAACCTCCATATCCTTTTATACCAACAAATTTAGAAATATTTATGATGAAAAGAAAAGGCTCTAAAGATTTTTACAACATACCAACAGGGAAAAGGAAATGGAACAAAGTTTTTGATCTGAATGATTTAACTTGGGATCAAATATACAAAATTCCTTTTTCTGTTACTAGAAGCACAAAGCTACAATGGTTTCAGTACAGAGTTAACCACCATATCTTAACAAGAAATTCTTTCTTTTCAAATCACATCTTGCTATTTCTCCGTTGTGTACTTTATGTTATGCAGAAACTGAAACAATAATACATACTTTGTGGGAGTGTAAAGAAGTTCAAAACCTACTTGATAGCTTTAAAATTTTACTAGAAGCTCTATTCATTCCATTTGATTTCAATAAACAATCTTTCATATTTGGACTGACATCACCAAACCTCAATAAAGACAAAGTTGACAATGAAATACTTCTTCTAATCAAACAATATATATACAAGATGCGATGCCTTCACAACTCTCTGAACATTAATAGTCTTATTATCACAATAAAATACCATTATAATTCACAAAAATACACTGCAAATAGTCAAGGTGAAATTGCCATGGAAAATTTCAAAAAGAAATTGGAAATAATGGGAGAAAGTTTGTAATTTGTGATTTCAAGAAAAATATATTGACCCACTAATGAAGTGCTGATAAACTACATTGTATATATAGTATTTTGAAAATGATTTTTTTTTTTTTAGTATTATGCCATCCCCCCCCCCCCCCCCCCCCCCCCCCCCCGGCCCCCCCCCCCCTCCCTCTCTCCCTCTCTTTTTCTCTCTGTGGGTGTTTGTTTGTTGGTGAGGGTGTGTGTGTGTAAGAGAGTGGGTGTGTATGTGTGTGTAAGGGAGCATGGGTTGGTGTGTATGTTTATATATATATATATATATATATACTGCAGATGAATTTTTATACTGATGCACAAATGATATAATGGTCATGGCAATTATGAATAGTGGTGAGAGGAAGTGTGTGTCATGTTTTCTTGTGTATGTTTGTATTTATGTGAAAATTTCCAAAAAATAAACAAATACAAAAAAAAAAAAAAAAAAATCTTTCTAACAACTTAATATTAGAATTATTGTCAGCATCAGAATATCTTTCCTAAGGCTTATCATTTTGGACAGGCAAAATTGGTGGAAATACACCTCTGGCAATATAAAATTAGACTGTCTAAATATAGCATGTTGGGGAATCCCAAACTCAGTCACTGTCTGGATCATATATTTTATGCAAAGCATTGGCCACAGGTCTGTTAACTATTTACTTTCTCTTGGGATTTCCATTGCTTTGTCAATTTCAGAATATATACAAATATTTTACACTGTCCAGTTAATCAAAAGCAAAGCTGTTGTTGCTCAGTCATGGTCAAGCTAGTGATTGTAAGTGTAAGTGATTATTATTGTTTATTCAGTCAAAGGCATAATAAAATTACACATTACCAATATTACATAAGCAATTCCATAACAATTAAAATCAGTAATAAATTATTGTGGATTTCTTAAAATTATTAATTATAAAATATAAGATATCACAGAAGAATTTCACATACCTTAAAATATCACAGTTTAAACTAGTATCACAGAAATTAAATTACACTGCGCTTGCAAATCTTCTAGGTAAAATAGTTGAAAATTTAGAAATATCAATAAAAAAGAGAGAAATTTGATAAAACCAGATGAAAATGCCTTTGGCCTTGGATTACCCATAAAGCCTATAAAATAGGCTTATTTCCAATGGGGTTCATTTAAGGTGTAATCCTTCCGGTTGGGATGTAAAGCCATGGAAATGAGATTAAATTAATTTTCTTTATTTAATTTTCAAAAACTATAAATGAAACAGAGCACTACATTTGAAAGAAAATTACATTTACATAGAAGATATGAAAACAAATACTGAAAGTGAATAAAATGTTTTGGCACATTTCAGGGCATTTATGAAAAAGGATGGGATTTGAAGAGGTATTACATAATAATATAACATGATCAATAATATAACATAATATGAACAACAATATAACATCACTACCCGTTCAACCAGACGCAAAGAAGTGGAGGTTGAGCTCAATAGTAGACGAAGGGGTTGTCAAATTCGCCTTTTGATTGTAGCATCAGAAAATGTTTTACTTTGTTTTTAAAATGATATTTATTTTTAGAATTTTTAATATTTTCTGGAAGGGAATTCCAATCTTTTGCGGCCGAAGTAGAAAAGGAAGAACTTTCTATGCTTTTTACGTTTTTTATTGAGAAGTTCATTGTTCCAGATCTAGTACCACAACAGTTTTTGTTTAGAGAGAAAAGTTCATATAAATATTGTGGACATTTACCATTATAGATGTTAAAAGTATGGTTGAGGCGAAGTTGACGGACCCTTCGTTCTACATTTAGCATGCCTAGTTTTTCTAATTCAGTGACAGTGATCCTTGTTCTGTTATCAAGGTTAAGAATAAAGCGGACCATTTTGTTTTGGGTAGTCTGGAGTATACCTTTGAGTTTCTTAGTAATTCCTTCATACCAGGAGGTGCACGCATAATCAAAGTGGCACTGAATCAGAGCAGAACATAAAGCTTTTCGAGATTTTAGAGATAGACATTTACTATTTCTGTACAAAAATTTAAGTCTTTGGTTGATTTTGTGGATAATGTTGGAGACAATTTCCTCTCCAGATAGAAATTTATCTATCGTAACACCGAGGTATTTTACTGAAGATTGCGAAACAATGTTTTGACCGTTACATGAAATTTTGAAATCATCCTCGGGTACTTGTCCTAATTTTCTCTTTGGTCCAAATAAAATACTTTCTGTTTTACCTAAATGTAATGATAGTTTGTAACAAGCCAATCATGACTAGATCTATATAGAATTTCCATAAATAGTGTATCAAATGTTTGTTTATATGGTAAATTGTGATGTACAATTTCTATATGAAATAAATTGATACTTTTTTATTTATAAAAAAAACCATCACATGAAATCTTGTGCTGAATACCATTTAAGTTTCTTAAACTAGTAATGATAGCATTGTGATTGACCATTAGTCTTAGTTTGTCCTTGTTTGTCACATACCCTACACACAGAGCGGTATACATACAAGGAATGTAAGAAACCAACCAAATCTTGATTTTGATTAAAGTAAAGGAAACAACTCTACTCCTGAGACTGTATAAAAATACAGTTCTTTTCTAAATGACTTATCTCATTTGAATAGAAGGAATCACCACTTATAAAGGTTATATGCTTTTTCTTTTTTGACACTATAAAACACATCTGCCAATGCCCCATCATCAAACATGATGTTTATTTCCTTGTTATGTTAAGAATTCACATCTATTATCCATTATTCTCATAAAAGTTTTATTTTCTTCATAAAAGGGAATTAAGGTATTTTATTTTGTTTAAAAAAGATCACACATGTATATACATGAACGAAAAAGAACCAGCTGCTTATACTTTATTTACCTAGGAACTCAACTAATTTTTCTTATAAAGTAAAAAAGTAATGTTTATTTCTCTGAACTTTACTTATTTTACTACAAATACACATAAGTATGGTAACTATATATATCTACCAGTCACTCCTTATGGCCTGAGTGGAAATATACAAGAAGGTGTTTGTAACAGAGGACACCAGAGATCAATCAAAAATCACATGGCAAAAGGTGTGTAAGTTACACTACACCACCTCACCACCACTGATAATCAACTGCATGGATTCATTAAACTGATATTTTTTCCCTATATATTACAAGATTATAAACACACAGTTTATAATTACTTTTGTGACATTTGTGATTTATTTTCTGTCTGTAACAAAAAAGTACTTTGGGGAAAAAAAAGAAGAGACAAAAAGGAAAAATATTTTTCATTGCAAAAGCAGGTCAGAAATTTCACCTACCTAGTATGGTGAATCATGGATTTTGGAGGTAAAAATTCCCTTCTTTTCCAAAAGGAAAATAAACATTACAGTATAAAGCTTACTTGTAGGGAGGACAATGGAAGAATTCTGCATTTGTTGATGGTTTTCTTCTTCTGGAGAAACCATCCCTTTCTGACTGGAGGTCATCACCACTTTGTATTTTTTTCCAGCTCCTTCACATAATTTCTCTGCAGCAAAGTCATTGTCTGATTCAACAAGAGCTTTGAGGAATCCTTCAAATGCTTTTGGTCCCCTTCTTGGAATGATATCTAACAGTTTTCTGTTTTTATCATCATTGGTACGCTCTGCCTGTAAGTTTAAATTTTCAGTCATGATAAGTCTAAGCTATATAAGCTGTTCGTTAAAGGACATATTGTATATAATTAATTGTCTTATATAGTGTCGCACATTGAATCATATGATATAACTCTATTTGAAAATGTCTTCCAAATTATTTTACAGACAATCTTTTAGAAATATCACACAACAAATATGGTGTAATTATTTGTAAATGGGAAAGGAGTAAGCATTTATAAATTTACAATATCTTTCACAAGAGTTGCTGTGGTATGAAGAAAGATAATTGATGCAGCAATTACAACTAGTAGATTGAACTTAACTAATATACATGTGTCAATAACTCACATTTAAAATAACACAAGCTGCAGACTAAAATTTGTACCATACACAGAACAGAAGAATGAAAACTTATCAATTTATTTGTACGATGTATCAAGATAAGCGCTGACTGTTACCATCAATGTGCAAATTAGGTATACTATGTGCATGACCATTTATCAAACAATAAACAGACTGCAACAGACATAGAGGTATGATAGTTTCAGATAATGACAAATTTTAACTGAAAAGAATTTAATGCAAACCTCAATGTCCTGTTTCATTCCATCTGTAATAATTCCATCATCCATCAATTTGTCTACCACATTCATTGTTTTATAAATATTTTTCACCAGATAGCTCCTATTAGAAGTCAGTTTTTTCCTGTCCACATCTTCCATTTTATAGTCAATCAGCAGTTACCAATAGATATGTTATATTTCATTTCTCTTGTTAAAAGCTTTCTTCTTTTTGTCCTATGACATCAGGGTGTTCGCATCTGAGAAAATAGAATATAATAAGTAATAATAATAAGTAAATAATGGACGCTGGCAAAACAAATGCCTCTATATCCATATCTAAAGTTATATGATGATCAGGAGATGTTTCCTATAACAAAGAATCTCAATTATTACATATGTATAGCCAATTAAATGCTCTTTATATATTGTTTCTGGGAAGGCACACAATTTTTCTACTCCAAGGCGGTCCACGGACACGGTATACATAATCCTCTGTTTCATTGTTTTCTTTCTGCTTCGCTTCCTCGTATAATGCCTTCTCTGATTCTCTTTCACAATGTGTTAAGTCATTTCTTATTCCTACTGAGGAAAGTTGGCTATGATTTCTTACTTTTCTGGTATTTTTAAAGATTCCTTTCTTTTGTTGTTGTGACTCAAAATGAACTAGAATAGGCCGGCTGTTATTGGTTACGTTACTGGACTCTGGTCTCTTTCCCAATCGTATAATTTTTCTAGGCCTATCTTTCTTTGACACTCCACAGACTTCTAATAAATTTCCTGCAACTTTAGCATCTTCTTCCATATGTTTCTTTCTGTCATGATGGGACTGTTTCAGAACTCCAAATAGAATTATGTTGTTTTCTCTCTCTGCTCACTCTTTAATTTCAGCAACTATTTCGTCTTTGCTTGGTGCAGATTTCTCAGATTTCAAGCTCATTTCCAGTTTAGAGATTAACCCTTTTACCTCTCTTTCAAGTTCAGTAATTCTATCGTCAAATTCTTGCGTGATTTGCCTACACCTCTCTTCAATTTTTCTGTCCGTGAGAATATTCTTTCAACTGTCATTCTGCATGGTGGGCAAAACCACATTGTATCTGATTTTGATAGGATGTCATATTTCTTCGAATCAAAATCCTGACATCTGATGCAGAAAAGGTTCTGGCATCGATCACACTTCATGTACTTCTTTGCTTCCTTCGAGCATATTTTGCGGTTATACTGTTCCTCCTTCAATGCGTCGTTGAAGGACTCTTTCGAGTTGGATCCCAGTTTAGAAGCCGATTTCTTGCTACTTCTTGCACTTCCAGTTTTGCCTTTAGTCATTTTATCTGTTATTTCGCGTATATTTTCGTATCCATGAATTCACACTAAATCTAGGATGGTTTCCTCATCACTTTCATACTATATGTATCGATAATTACCTCCTTATCGGAAAATTATCCACGAAATTTACCCCGTTGGCTATGGCGCATCCTCGAGTACGACTGTATCCATGGCGTGATGTCACAATCATTTTTCGAAGTTTCTATACATGAATTCAATCCTAACTACAAACACAGGATTATTAAAAAAACATACAGTGAGACCTTACCACAGATGCCTTGTAACCTCAGATTTCCCAAAATAAATTTACTCCATGCTGACAGTCAATTCTGACCTTTGATTTTTCAAACTTCAGATTTTGATAATATTAAGGACTTTTGTATCAGTTTAAATGTTCAACAGCTCAAAGCAATTATTTCTTTCTAAAAAATTCAATGACAAAATCACAAATTCTTTCATGTAAAAAATGGATAAATATTTATTTCTCCTTTTTGACGAAGAAAAAAACGAAACATCAGCACATCTCCACTAGTTATGAAATGTCATATGGAAAAAAATTATTATTATTATAAGATAATAAGAACAGAATAAAAACATTTAAATATTTTCCTTTCATTAGTTTGTATTCATTTTGTATTATGCATACATTTATATATTGCATTTAACAAAAAATTGAAAGCTAGTTCAAGAGATGGGATGAAGCTGGAGTTTCTCTTGTGATAAATAACTATTTATATACTATATAATAGTGATTGAAATATTTAGATTGTTTGAGTGTATTGTGCTGTGTTCTAGGTCTTTCACTCGTTGTGTAAGCATCTCAAAATAAATATCCATCAACAAGATTGTATGTTTCTTGTTCCACAACCTACAGAGGCTTACATCTACAAGCAAAGTGTACAAATACATAGTTCAGTCTCTGAAATGACAATTTAATGTCAACAGACCTAGTCATAAAAGTGGTAGAGACGCATCCACCATGGATGTGGTGAATTAAAGAATGATTCCCGCAACATGCCCAGAAACCTTGGGTCCACTTCAAAACAAAGCAAGTTAATGTGACTCGCTAACCTTCCACTCTAACTAGTGATTATGAGGCCGTTTTCATTTATCGCTTCGACCAGTTTGACAAGGGGTTGTTCGTTTACGAAACAAACGTGTACCTAATGATCTTATTTTATTTCTGGTCATCTTTCATTTTAGTAGTAAAATAGCGATAATTCCAATAAAGATCGTTCGATTACTCCTGTGCCAAAGGGTAAAGTAGCAACTGGTATAGGTCCCCCCACAAACAAAACAAAAAGTGTCCAGAGTGACTCTATATATATAAGTTATTTAAGTTAAAACCTATTGAAGAAATATATCATCTCTAGTTGTAAACTACAAATACTTACCATACGCAGGCAATGCCAACAATGCGGATCATTGATGTCAGCACGGTAGAAATATGGTGTTCAGTGGTTCCGGTATTAAAGTGAAAGTACTAAAGAATGTAAATGACGTCATTGATGCGTGTGTACTCTACGAGTTAGTTCACTTCCTGCGCGGTGATTCAATCGGAACACCTCGGCCGACTTCTATGAGGTAACCATCACTTGTTCCGAATAATGGTGAGTTTGTAAACAAAGGTTAAATATTGACGGACAACACCGGACTGTTTTTTAAGTCATTATAGATAACAAAGCCGTGTACAGTTATAACGGCGATAAACTTATACAAAGCAAAACAGACAATGATGATAATGCTAATAACTCAATACAGAGATGGTAACTAAGATACATAGATAAGATCGTGCTCAAATTTCACGCTGAAGTATTCGAAATAGTAAAATATATCACGTTACATAATAACGAGATATGACGCTTTGCTATTAAATGCACTTTGTACAAAATTCACGTGTTACGGTAACTAAAACATGTGAACTGCTTGCGATTGCATACGACCTGCAAGGTTCATTACAAATTGGTGTCGGATTGTTACATTTTGAACCTGTCATACCTTAAAAACGTTTGAAATGTTGGTCGATGATCTAGTGTGGTCATGATGTTATGTATCATTTCCACCAAGCTGTGGATAAATTTAGATATTTATGGGGTTTTTTTTATATACGATTCAGGATACGTGTACCTGGATGCAGGGTACATAGAGACTCCGTTACTTTGTCCTTTTGCTCTAAGACATAGTGCATCCTTGTTGCTTGTCAACAGAAACCTTGTATGGAAGAGAAATCTTGTAATCTTGACATCTTTTTTCTACCAGAAAATTGTTCTACTTTGTCCAGAATGTAGTCATCAGACAGAGTAACAAAGTCAAGATGAGAAGTAGAATCTTATCACTGGAGATTTAAACAGCAGATATTTCTCAAACACAGATTGTCTCAATCTTCTTCATTGATGTCGTTAGAAATGTTACAGTTTCCCTCGATCAGATGATCTATGTATAAACGGATACCAGAGAAAGGCCAAACCCTAACCTTAGCTGAAAAAAATGAAAAGTTGTCATCGAGTGCACAACATAGTAAATAACAACAATAAACTTGACACATGTATTCTTACGAGTTGAAGAAGCGATACCATTTAGGATCTTTTCTCTTCCATTTCCCTGAAGTTTCCCTTGGCATTGTTTGTCGTTTGAGGAAATTGAGAACTAGCTATGTACGGAAAACTCAGATTTTTAATTGTGACCGAGATATACCAGATTTTTTTTAATTGGTAGCTACAACTCTCTGCCATCAGCTTCATCAACATGCATTTTTGTCCTGCTAAAGTATCAAAGATATGATCTATACCTCGAGCTCTGTTTGCTCTAAATGTCAAGAAAAGCATACCAAACAATCATTTTGGCTGTGAAATCTTGGCATACCCTTTTTATACGCCGTCGGAGGCGGTCGTATATTGGCGTCATCTTCTCCGTCTGTCCGTCCGTTTCTTGTGAACGCAACTCCTCCTAAACTAATCATCAGATTTTCATGAAACTTGCTCAATGTCACTACTACAATGGGTAGATGTGCATGAAGGGGCGATTTTACGGTTCATTGATTTTTGTAAGATTTATGCCATTTTCAACTTTGTGTCTGTAGCTTGCTCACAGTGGAGCCTTGTGAATGTAACTCCTATACTAATCATCAGATTTTCACGAAACTTGCTCAATGTCACTACTACAATGGATGGATGTGCTGGAAGTGGCGATTTTACGGTTCATAGATTTCTGGAAGATTTATGACATTTTCAACTTTTTCTCTGTTGCTGATTTTGTGGCAGCCATTGCCATTTTTCGGTTCGGCCATTTTGATAGAGATCCGAATAATCTGCCAACATCTCATATGCACTGCTGTGGCGGCGTATATTGTGTCCACGACACTCTTGTTTAGAATAGGAAAACCGTTTATTTTCAACCTAGTTTAATTAAGATGTACATATAAAAATTTCATAATAACAGATTTGGAGCAAAGGTGAGCGAAATTACGCCATACTGGCCTTGGAGGCCAGGCGCCATCCGAGAGGGATGGATCAAATCTTTAACAAAACCAGCCAACAAACTACACAAAAATAGGGAGTCGAAGGTACATGGAAGGTATACTTTATGAAATAATAACAAGTGTATATACAGAACAAAAGTGACATGGAATATGTAGTGTATGACAGAGTTACAAAGGGCAATTAAAGTTCAGTGGCTAAATATGGTCAAACTAGTGAAAAGGAAACTGTCTTTGAGCCTTATACAACAAGGCTATGGCACAAAGTGGACAGCATGTCTGTTTATAAGATACAAGAACATCACAGGCCATATTCAGCACAGTTAAAACGAGTTAAACCTGCTACAAAGTTCTTCACAGGGATAGTCAATACTAATCATTTCCTCGAAAAACAGACGCCACTCTGGCAACACAGTGTACAACATAAAACATAAAAATGTTTGCACACTCCTGGTATAGCATTTGTGTGAAGTACTGCTGAACTAAATAATTGTTAGCACAAGCATAAAAAATATAATACCCTAAGTAACAATGCTAACAGCAGGACCCACATGCAACTCTCCCTTAAGAGACCCCCGCATCAAAAAGGAGAGGTATATGTACCGGTGTCCTGGACACCAACCTGTTTAGTGGAACCTAACAACCCTATAACCAGACAACACCATGCAACTCTCCATGATGTGACCCCCGCAACAAAACAGAGAGGTACAAGTATTAGGTGGTGTTCTAATTCTAATTAATGCTTAGCATTCAGTTAGATAAAGCAGGTGTACGAATGTACTTTTTAAAAGCATCAGAATGCCACCTGCCTAACATACGAAGTTATGAATCTGACATTCACCTATTTGCAGCTAAGGTCGCCCTTCCTATCCTGAAGCTATGCCCCTTGTAGCGTGAACTATCAAGCCCGGCGACATGCAGACACTTTTTAGTGACATCATCAAAATATTTCCGTTGTAACGGTATACCAAGGCTATTCATGAATAAGACCCCAGATTTGGGACCTCGTAATTTGAGGTAGCGTAACATAGCCTCAACGGGACACGAATCTTTATTGCTGCTGCTCGCAACAGGGACTGTATGAGGCTTTCCACTTTGATTATGCTTGAAGGTTCGGAAACATACATATAGTTGGAAGTGGTTTTCGTGTTGTGTGAATTCTATGTCACCGATTTGTAACACTCGTGAATGCTGAGAAGATTAACTGGGCAAAACCTCGCCAAGACGTGAAAGGCTGTAAAAGGCTGTAGTAAAAACGGCCTTAAATGACACTTTGTCAAAGGTCAAACTAACCGTATTGTGCAGAGCCTGAATAAATTTACATAAAATTTATTCTGTGATGGGAAGTCGAATATCGAACGATGGGGATATGTATGCTGATTCCTGTATGGCTTTTTAAACAATGAAAGCTTTTGTTGGGTCTGATTAACCAAGAATATGATGTATACACGCTATAGCAAACATGTGAGAATTGATAGTTGTTGAAGCCAACTTAAGCAATGTGCGTGAGCTACTTAGAGAGCAATAACCGAAAAAGGAACAGGTACGACTATGGGAGAGTTTAGAACTTCGACTGAAAAGTTACTGAGAATCCGCCATATCCGTGAATACATTCTATGAGTTGAAGGTGCTAAGGATGCCGCCAAAAGAGTGGTTAAGGTAGAAGTAATTTCTCTTGAGCCATCGCTATGGGAACTTGAGAGGGGGCCGCTGCGGCACATGAATGTAATGTTTTGAACTTGTCTACCTGTAAACGAGATAAAGCCTCAGTTTCGTCATTATGTTTTCCAGGAACATGAAAGGCCTTGAATAAAATATTATGCTGGAGGCAGAACAACACAAGCATGCGCAACAACCGCACCAAGATCTTGTTTTTGGCTGTTTGCTTGTTGATCACCGACACTAAAGCCAAACTATCAGTAAAAAAAAAGCTACCACATTTGTCTTGTAAAGTGTCTCCCCAGGTAAGTAAAGCTGCAATGAGACCGAGATAGGTAAATTGTGACTTTTCACATCGGGTACCGATTCCTCAGATCCACAAACAGCACCAAAACCTATTGTCGAATATGCATCGGTATGAAATTGGAGATGGTCGCTGTACAACCATTTTTCCTCAAGGAAAAAGTTCCTCAAATTAAAAGTGTTCAAGAAAGAAAACCATTGTTTTCAAATCTGCTCTGCTCTCAGACGTAAGTCCAACTTTAAAATACGGTTGTTGGACACCAATTGTCAGATCAATTAACCTCCGTGAAAATGGACGGCCTGGACTAACCACTGAAGTGGCAAATTGTAAGGTACCGATAAGGGATTGAAGTTATCTTAAGGTAACTTTCTTACGAGACTTCAAAGCTCTAGCGAGTTCTTTGCAACAGCGCACTTTGTCTGGAGGTACTTCATACTTTTATGTGTCAAGAATAATGTCTAAAAATGGAAAGACCTGATCTGGGACAAATGTCTTATCTGGGACCAGAAGAAGCCAAATTGTGTGGTACAAGTTTTGAAAATCAGACAAAATTCTATCACACCTGGACTTGGAAGGTTCAATGAATAGAAAATCATCTAAAACATGCACTACACTAGAAGCCCCCAACTTGTTCATAGCCACCCATTCTAATGCTGAGCTCAAATCCTCAAAAATCTTGCTGCTTTCAGACAGACCCATTGGAAGACATTTATCAAAATAATATTGTGAAATCCACTAAAAACCTCAAAAGGGGCGGTCAACTGGATGAACCGGTATTATGCGGAAAGCTGACTCAATGTCACACTTGGCTTAAAAATGGGTTTGTTTTTTATAATATATGATATGACAGCCTGAATTGTCGAATATTCAACTCTACAATGAGAATCAGGAATTGAATCATTGAGTGACGACCCTTGTGAGTTGCTTAAATGATGGATGTTTTTTTTTTCTTTTCAACGACACCGATGGGGCTGACATGAAAACGGTGATAAGGAGGGTTCACATAGGGCCCTGCAAGTCTGCCACAGTC